AAAGAAATAGTATACCGAGAATGAAGTCACAAATCAAATTAAAACATTGAAGAAAGATAAGATGAAGGGACATCTATAAACAACTGTAGTTTCTAGGTTGATGGACATGCTTCATAAATTCAACGTTTTGGTGAAAGTTCATCGAATGGTTAGAGATTGGCACAAAGAATATGATACAAAAAATTTAAAGTTGATAATCAAATACTCACGTAGCTTAAAAGGTTGATGGTAGAATATGCATACCGTTAACGAGATTACTGGACTAATTATTGGTGATTTGGAAGACACAATCCTAACAAGGGATGTCATTGTAGGACATTGAAAAGAGGGACTAATTCGAATATCTGATTTGCACCCTTCATTCATGACGATGCAATATCCTCTTCTATTTTCTTATGGCAAAGATGGTTTCACACTTGAAATTCCCCTTAACAAGAGAGGTAACAAAAAACAAAGCAAGCAACATTCGGTGTCAAGTAAATTGAATGATGTTGAAAACTCAAGAAACTTTGTTACAATGAAAGAATATTGTGCATTTCGCTTTCAGATGAGAACATGTAATGTTTTTAAATATATGAGAAAATTTTAATATATTCATCCACGTATACTACAAAATTTTATATAAATCTAAGTGATAATAAGGATGTTGTTCAAACTCAAGGGTATTTTGTATCTTTTTTTGTGAAATAATATAATTCCATCTTCATGAAATTTATTCAATATTATGAGATTTATAAGTAATTATTTTACTTATATTTTTCTCAATTAAATTAATGCACCAACTTAATATCAAATTTTAGAGACTGGAGCAAGATTACTAAGAAAACAAGTCAATTTTTAAATGAATAATGCTATAATTGATGATATTTTTGAAGTAAAGGAATTGAATGATAGTGATGTAAGTGAATTTTAATTTATTTTAGTATTGAATTATTTGCTAAATTTTATATATATTCAATTATAGTTTTTAACACTATATCAATAAAAGAAATATGATACAATGACAAAAGTTATATTATTATTACACAACATATTTGATACATTTCATTTAAATCACTAAAATAATGTATGCAAAATTTAAATTAAAATTAAAATATAATACAATGACCATATAAATACATTACATAGACCTTCCAAGATTAATTCTTTAGTAGATTTATTATGCACTTTATTATTTGTTGTTTTTAATAATTCATGATGAATAAATTGTTTCTCTATACTATTTTTAGGAGAAACATTTTTTTGCAACGCTCAAATCATGAATTGAGGAGATGTCGGGTTGATGATATATTTCTCATGATGATTGTAAATAATAAGTTGAAAGAGATTAATGAGGTTCTTTACTACAATCATCATAAAAAATTCAAATATGTTAAAGATAGGTAAATAGGATATTATAATTTTTTATAAATATAAATTATTTACAGTTTATAAAAATTAAACTGAATAAACAATATATAACGTGAATAAATATATTTAACTTTAAGTTCAAACTTATCTTACAAATAACGGATGGTACAGGCATCACTGCAATTGTAATATTCCATCATAATGTTCTTTGTTGGATGAAAATTAATCCTTCAGAATTAGCAACTACAGTAAGTTTGGTAAAATATATCCAAATAATATTAAAGTTTTAATACGTTTTCAATTTAATATATGTAATTGAAAGTTAATATATATTTACTTAAACATGATGTAGACAACAAGGAGATTTTACTTGCTATCAGGATATTAATCGATAGAAATATGCGTTTTTATATTAATTAAGGTTACAGAGTTTAACACAAGTAAATGCATTGAGTACTACACAGCTATTAAAATCGTTGATGATGATGTGGACAATGAAAAACTCAACAGGCTGTTACTGGTTACTGATGGAAAAGTAAAATTTTCATAATCTTATTAAAAAATATATTCCTCAGTTATATGCAATATATTCATTATTCTAATACTAAATTTATTTTTTTCAAAGGATGAAAAATCACTCGATATGATGTTGGTTGATGGCGATGACAGTTAATCGATTGAATATACTCCAGACTTATCGACACCTGAAAATACATCTGATAAAAATTCTAAAAAGAAAGTTTTACTAGATTTAGTATTAGTTCATTATTTCAAAAATAAAATCATTAGCATGTTATTCTAAGACGAATGTATTACTATCACAGGATGAGAAACCAATTGAATTGAATCAGGATGGTTCTATTAATAATCAATCTGTTGAATTAACTCCAGATTTATCTACACTGATATCCACAACTACTAGCAAAGGAAAAAAGAAGATTTTTTTATGTTTCGCCTATTGTTACGCTTGACTCTTTTGCATTTAAAACCCCACCTACAACCAGTACAAAAATAAGTATACAGTCACATTGGCTTATTTATACATTAATTAATATGAATATATAATTTTTAAATGTTAAATTTACTAAATAAACATATTTTTATTTTACACAAATGGACAAAGAACCATCTCTTTGAACTTTGAAAAAAAGGATTATGATAGAGAAACAATAATTGAAAATTATTGGAGCTTTTATTATGTTTTACCTATTATATCCTATGTTGGTTGATTGATTGAGAACTTTTTTTAGTGATGCGTTATTTAGGAATAATATATTTTAAATGTTAAACTGTCTTATATCTTAATTTCATTCAAGTTGTATTTAGGATTATCTTTATTTTATTTATTTATTATGAAAAAAATTAGTTTAAACGATCTTAAATTTTTTAATTATAGCTTTATATAAGTAGTTTAATATCATTATTTCCAGGCGGGTACATGTTCTCTAACCTTAATGTGGGTGAGGGAGGGTAGGGTTCACGTGCTTCGAAGGGGGTTGAGTCATTAGATATTTAAAATTATATTTGGATATGAGTGATTGAAACACGATGAAATATAGATGATGAATTCAGAGATAACCTTTTGAATGATGATGAATTCTGAGATAATATTAGAGTCAATAATTCAATTTTTCATTTACCTCAATTGGCGGAAAAATAGGTTAACATGTTAATAAAGGAAGAGGACCATATTGTTTTAAACTTGGTGGACAAAATCATCATAAAATTTGGATTCTTGAATCTTGTGGGATACATAAAATACATGCATCCATGCATCCATACATAAATCATAGCATAACCCCCAATTAAATGCATACTCATAACTCCCAAATAATTTTATTTTAAAAGTCATAAACATGCAAGTCATAACCCTAATTAAATGCATACTCATAACTCTCAAATTATTTTATTTTAAAAGTCATAAACGTGGTATAAATGGTTTTTATTTTATGGTAACCACAATATTTACAATATAACGATTATGATAATAACAATAAATTTAAATTTGAAACAAATGCACTTTTAATTATGTACTAAATGTTGTTTAAACTTTTGTAACCTCCCATCATCAAATTCGGTTATGGTAAAAATTAAGTTTGCATGATCATTTCTTATTTCCACCTCACATAATTTGAACATAATAGGATGGATGTCTAAAAATTAAGTTTGCATGATCATTTCTTATTTCCACCTCACATAATTTGAACATAATAGGATGGATGTCCTAAAATACTAAAGCATAAAGCATTTCTTATTTCCACCTCACATAATTTGAACATAATAGGATGGATGTCCTAAAATACTAAAGCATAAAAAGCACTGCAATGATCTGTAAATTATTTACTATTCAAGTAAGCCTAAAAACCTTATGTTAGAGGATTTATATTGGGCGATTCTTCAACGGGATTGCGTTTGATTTTCCTCATTAGATGAATTTAAGGTGAATACATAATGGTTAAAAGTATAAAAGACACATTTAATAATTTTCCTTCTCAACCACTTACGACACTATTAATCTTCTTTAACTCCTCATTCAAATCAAAACCCTCTTCATCTCCTCCATATCGTAACCTCTACATTCCACAATATATAACTCCCCCATCTCTGCCTCGTTCTCAAAATTCCCTTCATCAAAACAAAGAGTACCGATATCTCTCCTTAAAACATAGCTTGCCAAAAAAATCTATCATTTTCGCGCCGACAAACCCATCCATTTTTTAATTTCGTGTATCGACCAACCTTGATGACAACGGTTTTGTGGACAATTGGAGTGAGATGATGTAGCTCCAACACTGGTGCTCTAATAAGGTCATATTATTCTTCGTCAATGATGAATAACAAATGGCCTCGACTGCAGATGATAAGCTAGCTTCATCTCATTTTTATTTTTAGTTTCTGTACATAGTTATCTATGCTTTCTGCAAGATGTCTATACTATTATACTTTGTATTGTAGTTTAAAAGAAAAAAGTTTCTCTCCATTCAAAATTCACTTTGTTATGATTGGTATTGCTGAAAGTTACAACAACCAGATTTAAAAAATTGATAAACAGGTGACCGGGCTTAAAGCTTTCATAAACGTCAGTCAAAGTTCATATTATCATGCCCTTAAACTATTGCTTTCCTCCTCTGTGCTTACACATGAAAGTGGTTATACGTGCATCACACGTGCACTATACCTGTATATATATAGGGAGAGGTTCAAATAAAAACCTCACTATCCTAAAAACTAAAATCCAATCCTCTCCATTGGATCTAGATTCATCCAATGGCTGAGATTATAATACTATTACAGCTGCATAAGGGTAATCAGGTAAAATTAACAGCCACCAAAGAGAGGTAATGAATGTCTGTCTGTTGAGTTCTCCATGCAAGTGTAGTTTTCCATTTCCCCATGTAATCTCACGGCTCAGGAAACCCATCAGTCACGAATAGCAGATCTCTCACTCTACAACCAGCAGCTCTCGTTCATTATCCTTCAGCTCTCTCTCAATCGAGAAATCGTCTTCTAGTCACTCCACAACCAGCAGCTCTCCTTCATCGTCCTTCAGCTCTATCGTTCATCGTTCATCAGCTACATTCTTAAACATTTTATGGAGATTTAAATGGAGAGCTTGAATTCAGGTGAGCAGGTTCTAATTGTTAGAGTCTACAGTGATTTTTATAATGTATTCACATGTTTACTGTAGTGAATCTAGATTCAATGCAGTGAATCGAGATTCACTCCAGTGAATCCAGATTCATTGTAATGGATCCAGATTCAGTATATCAAAACTTAGTCATATGACTTATTATCTAGGAGCTTACATTCTTAAACATTTTATGGAGATTTAAATGGAGAGCTTGAATTCAGTTGAACACGTTCTAGTTGTTAATCTAGATTGACTACATTGAATCGAGATTCATTATTAGAGACTGCAGTGATTTTCATAATGTATTCACATGTTTACTGTAGTGAATCTGGATTCAATGCAGTGAATTGAGATTCACTCCAGATTAATTAGCAATGATCTGGATTCAATATAGTGAATATTGATTCACTCCAGTGAATCCAGATTCATTGTAATGGATCCAGATTCACTATATCAAAACTTAGTCATATGACTTATTATCTAGGAGCTTACATTCTTAAACATTTTATGGAGATTTAAATAGAGAGCTTGAATTCAGGTGAACACGTTCTATTTGTTAATCTAGATTCACTGCATTGAATCGAGATTCATTATTAGAGACTGCAGTGATTTTCATAATGTATTCACATGTTTACTGTAGTGCATTGAATCGAGATTCATTATTAGAGACTGCAGTGATTTTCATAATGTATTCACATGTTTACTGTAGTGAATCTGGATTCAATGCAGTGAATTGAGATTCACTCCAGATTAATTAGCAATAATTTGGATTCAATATAGTGAATATTGATTCACTCCAGTGAATCTAGATTCATTGTAATGGATCTAGATTCATTGTAATGGATCCAGATTCACTATATCAAAACTTAGTCATATGACTTATTATCTAGGAGCTTACATTCTTAAACATTTTATGGAGATTTAAATAGAGAGCTTGAATTCAGGTGAACATGTTCTAGTTGTTAGAGACTGCAGTGATTTTCATAATGTATTCACATGTTTATTGTAGTGAATCTGGATTCAATACATTGAATCCAGTTCACTATAGTAAACATGTGAATACATTATGAAAATCACTACAGTCTCTAACAACTAGAACGTGTTTACCTGAATTCACATGTTTACTGTAGTGAATCTAGATTCAATGCAGTGAATCGAGATTCACTCCAGTGAATCCAGATTCATTTTAATGGATCCAGATTCAGTATATCAAAACTTAGTCATATGATTTATGTTGTTTTATTTTCAGTTATAGGCAGCAATGAACAAATAAAGGAATCACATGTTATAAATGCATCAGACAATGATTTTGGGGAAGAAGGAATGGACGAAGTTAGCTTGATTCCTTTTCAATCACCAGGTGGTGGTATGTATTGGAAACCTCGGGTTGAAGCTGAATTTAAACCTTATCTAAACCAAAGCTTCCGATCACTAGAGGATGGTATAGAGTTTTACCGAGAGTATGGACGTAAAAGTGGGTTTGAGATCAGACGGCATACGGAGAAGAAACATGAGGATGATACAGTTCTTCTTAAACACATTCTTTGTAGTAGAGCTGGCAGCAATGAATCAAAGATGGATGTTGATTTTGAGGATTTTAGTAGCATTTCGAAAAAGAGAAGGAGAACTGTATCTAGTAGATGTGGTTGCAAAGCTAAAGTCATTTTTAAGTTCGATGGTTTGAAAGGATATAATGTTCTCTCATTCGTTGAAGAGCATTCTCATTTTTTGGTGTCCGGGAGTGGGAAACAATTTTTGAAGTCAAATAGAGTTCTGGGTCTCACACATAAGAAACTTATATTTGATGGTGCAAAAGCCAACATGGGGCCTAACAAAACATATAACTTTGCTAAGGAGTTGTATGGAAGTTATTCTAATGTTGGTACTACATGTACCGAGTTTAAAAATTGGAGTAGGGATGTGAAGCTTTATATTGGTGATCGAGATGCTCAAATGATCATCGAGAAGTTCACGGATAAGAAGGAGATGTGTGATTGATTTTTCTATGATTATGCAGTTGATGAAGGGTGTCGATTAACTCGCATTTTTGGGGCAGATATTATTGGACGAAGAAATTACGATGTATTTGGAGATGTGATATCATTTGACTCTACATATTCCACAAACAAGTAAGATTTTATAGTTAATCTCTTACGATTTTCAATATTGGAATTATATATCATAGTGTTCCACAAACAAGTAAGATTTTATAGTTAATCTCTTACGATTTTCAATATTGGAATTATATATCATAGTAAATCTTATATTTTTTGTATGTGATACAATAGGTACAACATGAAGTTTGTTCCATTCACTTGGCTCGACAATTATAAGAAGTGTGTTGTATTTGCAGCAAGATTGATAGCTAAAGAGGACATTGATAACTATGTCTGGATTTTTGAGGTATTCATGAAATGCATGATTCGCGAGCCAAAGTGTATTGTTACAGATCAGTGCCCTGCCATGAAGCAAGCTATACTAACCATCTTTAGAGAAGCACGTCACCGTTTGTACATGTGGCACATCATGAAGAAATTTAACCAAAAGGTAATGAATCCCACATATAAACATCATGAATCCTGATTAGATAAATACTGAATCTTTCGTTATATATTTATATTGTAGTTGGCAAAATGCATTTCGAAGATGGATGATTTCAATAGGAAGATAAATGTACTAATTTGGAGTATAGATATAGATCCAGCAACATTTGAAGTAGGTTGGAAAGATGTTATGAAAGAATTTAAGCTTGAAAGTAATGAATGGTTGTGTTAACTATATAACATTCGGGATTCATGGATTCCAGCCTATTATGTTGATGATCCAATGGCTGAATTATTACGTACTACATCAATATCAGAGAGTGAGACAGTTTCTTTGACAAATTCAACCGTAGACCTGACACATTGATAGAATTTTATCTCCGATACGAGAGTGCTATGGATAAGCAAAGGCATACAAATGCAAGATTAAACTATGAAGGAACAAAGTCGATGCTAAGAATGGACACGCCATTGTTATTGGAGAGGGATGCAGCAGAGTTGTACACTCGAATAATGTTTTATGAGGTACAGAAAGAGATAATGTCATCCTGTTATGATATGAGTATCAACAGTATATCAGAACAAGATGGTGTGAAGATTTTTTCCATAACGGACAAAAAGAGACATGGAAAAATATTTGAGGTAAAACTTAATAATGGAGATTGAAAAAATAAAAATTGAATCGCGATTCAATAGAGTGAATTGCGATTCAATAAAGTGAATCTCGATTCACACCACTGAATCCCGATTCAGTGACTATTTCATGCGCTTGTCATTTTATTTTTTTTATTCGGTGCTAATATACATTGTTTTTTGAATTTTAGGTGAAACACGCTGTTTTGAACAATGACGTGCAATGTACGTGTAGGATGTTTGAGAAAATGGGTATAGTATGTAGACATGGTTTTTTTGCACTGAACCAAGCTGATGTAACAAAAATACCAAGACATCTTGTTGTGAACCGATAGACAAAAGGTGCTGAGATGAGGCATTCATTGTAGTTCAAGGAAATATCAGAACAGTGCAATGCAATTGAAGTTACAATCGCAAGTTGAATGACATATGGTATGATTTCCAATCCTGTGTGAGTTTGGCTGGTTTAGATGGTGAGAGACTTGACTACTTGGAAGGGAAGTTGAAGGAGTTGAAGCACAGTTTGTGTGAATCTAGTGGGAAATCTGACACACAAAACAAAAATGATGTAACGGAGTTTTTTGTTGGCTCAAAAATACCAGCTGAAGTGATTGTTAAACCTCCCATTGAAGGTAGAAACAAGGGGTGTGGACGAAGAATTGTTGGTGATTATGAGAAATCAATTAGTCAACGAAAGAAGAAGGTGCCAAGGCTGTGTAATATGTGCAAAAAACTCGATTTCCATGACACACGGACATGTCCATTAAAGAAAACATTACAGCAGAGTGATGTTTAATTTAGTTATCATATTTTGTTTCAAAATCATGTTTAGTAATACATTTCTTTTTAGAATTGCTGAATTGTGTAATTCTTAACGACATATATTTACTAGATTATTAATTACATGGTTACGTTGTGTCATGTTAGTATATTGAATAGAGATGTACTCATATAGCATGTAAATTTCATTATTAGTAGTTATATTATTTCAATAGGAATGATAAAGTAGTTGTATGTAGTTATCAAATTAAAATTGATTCGCTTTAAGTGATTCTGAACTAACTATAGTGAATCTAGATTCATTGTAGTGAATCTAGATTCACTATATTGAATCTAGATTCACTATAGGGATTCATTATAATCAATCAAACAATCAAATTATTTGATTGATTCGCTTTAAGTGATTCTGGACTAACTATAGTGAATCTAGATTCATTGTAGTGAATCTGGATTCACTGAATTGAATATGGATTCACTATAGTGAATCTAGATTCAATAAAATAAATTACTAAAAACTTAAGATAATATTGAACCAGTGAATCCAGATTAAATACATTCAATCCACAATAAGTATGATTAATTTACTGAATCTTTCATTGTAGTGAATCTGGATTCACTGAATTGAGTGAATCTGGATTCACTATAGTGAATCTAGATTCAATCAAATAAATTACTAATAACTTAAGATAATATTGAACCAGTGATTCTAGATTAAATACATTCAATCCACAATAAGTATGATTAATTTACTAAATCTTACACAAAACCTTGAATTATAACTCACATTCTCTAGTTAAATTGAAATTCTTCCAATTGCATTCATTACCTTCACAATATTTTTATATATCCAAACTATTCACAAATCTAGAAATAAAATTATGACAAAGCTATTATATATTATAAAGTATATTTACATAGAAAAGCAGATCAAAACAAACTGTTATATTCAATAACATTAATTGACAATGTACTCAATAATTGTAAACTTCAACAATTTAATTATACTAATGACAGAATATTATTTTCTCTGAGATCTTGTGGTCTTCCTCCTCTCTTTTATGACATTGGCAGTTTTAGCATGGTGCTGTTGAGCTTTCCTGATGATTTCTTTGGCCAATTCATTTGTTGGATTAGTAAGAATTTGGCAACAGTATATAGACCTCAGTCTATGTAGCTGATTTTTTAATCGCTCCTGTCGATATGAACAATAATTCAGTTCATGATTCAGCAGCTATATTCTAAATTTTATTAATTCATAAAGACTAACTGTAAATTATTAATACATTATTAGTTTAAACACTTACACCCTCTCTATGGAAACCAGAGTTCCAATTTGATGTACCACCGCCCATGTAGGTCTCCATATGTCTCTAAACAAAAATACCACAATAAAATTCGTTTTTGGCCGTTCTCTACTCCATCTCAAGTCTGTCAGGCCTTAATGTCTTTATTTCACTCGACTTGTGATGTTTTTTTGTGTGCCAAATATCTCACAAAATTCTTGTGCTGTTTAATCAAAAGTAATCAGTGTCACATAAAATTCCAAATTATCATACAATAATGTCTAATGTAATATACAAATTGTTTTGGTTGTTTATATGGAAACAATATTCATGACAGTGAATCTCGATTCATTGGATCTAGTTCGCTAGGATTTAATAGAGTTAGTTCATCTGGACTCACTCTAATGAATCTGGATTCACACTAGTGAATCTGGATTCGCTAGAATTAACTATAGCTAGTGAATCGTGATTCCCTAGTGTGAACACAGATTCACTAGCTCTAGTGAATCGAGATTCATAGTAAGATGTGAATCCAGATTCACTAACTCTAGTGATCAAGATTCACTAGAGTTAGCGAATCTGGATTTCTCTGACTCTAGTGAATCAAGATTCACTATAGTGAATCCAGATTCACTTATTACTGTATTCTGCAAGTAAATGCTTAAAGCACATATGTAAGGTGGAAAAACATACCAAACCCTCAGGACGACCTTGGTATTTTCCTTGTAGTCTGGGCAGTTTTTGCTATTGTCAATCAGCTCCATACTTGGATTCTTTAGCCCATAGCACATAATGTAGAAATGCTCAAACGCATTTATGGGAAAGAAGACCTAATGGTTGTGAAATTTAATCAGTGCTTTTACAGATATAGTTAAAATTGGGTTAAAGAACAAGAACATTGTCTTCGAATCTTTACCATATCAATCTCATTAAACTTCATATGTGGATACAAAGCAAGTTGCTCATCCATTCGGGAAGCAAACCTACTGTATCTCAATTCATCATTGGACTCATCTGTGTGATGAATGCTGCAAAACTGTACAGCATAAAACTGGTTAAATAAAATATAACTCAAGTGTTATTTTAAATTAAATAAAGGAAGATACGTACGGTTGTCTCAACATTGCAGAAGAATCTAAGTGGAGAATTTTTAGACTTTATTTTTTCTCTGCTGTTCAAAATATAGGACCAAATGCTGATTAAATTTGCCTTAATGTCCTCAGAAGGAAGGAAAGTCTTGAAAGCAGGTAAGAAACATTCAATTTGTCTCCACTTAAAAACCATTTCACTGAAAAAACATTAACAATATTCAATTTAATAAAGGGACAAAATACTAAAAACAGTGAGTCTCACACCTAAAAATAAAAGATCAAATAAGATTTACGAACTCACAAATTCTCTTCTTCATCAGAATCATCACCTGAATGTCTTGCTTCTTCTCTATGCACCCAATTCTATATGATGCTTTCCAGCTGACTTTGCCTAGCAGTAATCTCAGATACCCTCTGCACCCATGGTGACCGAAGAGACGTTGCAGGCTTCACCATCCTCTTTTCTTTCCCCCTTCCCGCATGTCCCTTATTTTTGGTCACATGAACTTTCTTACCTTTATGTTCATCTACTGCAGCAGCATCTTCAGCTTGTTTATCAGTTCTTCCTACAGAGTCATCAATGATCTCAAATTCACAAGCTCTAGCAATCTGAACAACATCAACCATTTCCACTGTCTCAGTCTGAGTATCCCATGTCAGCCCAAGAGAAAAACTAGGTTCTTCAGTCTGTGGGGTACCAGATTCGCTGAGCTTGCGCCTCACTGGTTGTCAACCTTACCCATGCTAACAGACTCTATAATCTTATCAACCTCTTGAATAAAATTTGGGGAGACTTTTGTATGTGGTAACTCAGCTGATATTGGATCAACAGCAGGGGAACCATGCATATCTCTACTTACCTTGGTGTTCACATTAGGGGTATCATCAACAATGTTTCCCCCAGCTGTTTCATTGTCACACGTACTTCCACGATGTCCACACCCCTGTACAAGAACATTTGAAACTCTCTATTGAATTTGAAAGAGCTCGTTGTCATTAGGGAACAGCTTTCTCATTGTCTGACACTCAGCATCATATCTATCTTTTGCATATTCCAACTCCGCAGCTCTCCGTTGCACCCTCTCAATATAATCCTGCAGTTTGAATATCACATACATTTGTCACCATAAATTATTAACATGGCGAGAGACTAGATTCGATAGATTGAGATTACATTCAATGTATTTGAATCGAGATTCAAATTACTGAATCCAGAGTCGACTAAAGTAAATCCAGTTTCACTTTAGTGAATCGAGATTAAGTAGCAGTGAATCCAGATTCACTTCAGTAAATCGAGATTGAGTATCATTGAATCCAGATTCACTTAAGTGATTTGGAATTCAGTTTAACTTAATCGATAACCACTGATCTAAAAGAGATTCAGTATTAGTAAAACGATTCATTGAACTGAATCGACATTCAGTTTAAGTGAATCTCGATTCACTCCTACTAAATCGAGATTAAATTGAATAAACAAAGTCTTGCAACTTAATTTGCTAACCTTTCGAATTGTCTCAACACTTTTAGGCGAGTTTCCAGTACCACTCTGCATTCGAGATGAAGGTGCAAGTTCAACCCTC